AATTCTTAGTGTCATGTAATGGAGTGAGTTTTTGTTACTTCTGCCAACCTAGCAGTTAGAAAGCATGTAAAAATGCCAGTAGAAAAATAGGAACCACCTTTGGTGGGAAGGTAACAGCATTCCGTGTGCCTTCGGCGTTTAGTCATGCCGGCGACATGACCATGGAGACGTCTTCAGATAGCGCTGGCTCTTCAGTTTTGCAATGGAGATGAGCACCGCCCCCTAGAGTCGGGAACGATTAGCACATATGTGCAAGGGGAACCTTCACCTTTACCTTACCCAGCAGATCTTTGCCTTTTTGCTCACATTTGCTGACAAGGCATGCCAACCTGGCTGCTGGGCTGTGTTGCAGTACGCTACATCAAGAAAGAAAAGAAAAAGAAGACAGAAAGAAAAGAAAGCCTTAAGCCACACTGTGTCAGAATGCCCATCCACACTGGGCTCTTGGGTCAGGCTGGGCACGCTTTGCTCCAAGAGATTTTTCCAAAGGGACATTTTGCCACCCTCTAGCTCTGATGTGGTTTTTTGTTTTCTTTTTCATTTTTTACAGCTGAAGCCCAGCAGCCAGGCTAGGCACACCTCTTCAGCAGCAAGTGAAAGAAGGGCGTGGAGGTCAACTGGGTCAGCAGTGCAGGCAGACAAAAGGGCATAGATAAGGTTAGATAGACGAGGGGAGAGATGAAGCTCCCCTGTGGCCATAAGTTGTGTGCAGACTGCTGAGCACCTGAATTTTGACCATGGGACCACAAAGTTGTTGCAATTGGCATAACTTCAGATATGGGTCATATGTCCCTTTATTCAATATGATCATAATCTTGAATGGTTGTTAAATGAATGGTTGGAACCCAGCAACTACCTGTATATTATTTTCACAAAACAACATCAAGGGAATATAGGTGTGGCTTCCAATCAGTCCCTCTATCAGAGTTAACTATCGAACTAAAAACCAATCAAGTCTATTTCAGCTTGTCAACCTGTTTGCTTAGTTTATGCTTCAGAGAGTCAGTGTGAATCTAAGAAATGGTCAAACAATCATGGATAAGTTACCCAAGAGAAAATGTACAACCAACCATTGGCTATTTGGCAGCAGCTGTCTGAAATGGTGGGCAAAGCTTTTCAATTCTTGCTACAATGATCTTTCCGATTGTGGGTGCCAGGTGTCTGTTGCTCCATGCAAACAATATGCTATAAAATTGAGCCAGAAATTGAGGGTCCTCAGTGCTCTTTGATCTTAATTGTTTTCTTGCAGACATTTCATTAGCCAAACGGGCTACAATCCTTGTCACAAATGTCCAATCCCATTTTATGGAAATCTGGTCAGGCCAACCTTTGCTGCATCAGACCTACTTAGTCAATTTTTTTCTTTAATTCCAAGAAATCTGTATGTACAAGATGAGAGCAAAAGTCCTTTATTTCTAGTGGTTTTGCTTTTGTTGCTCATGACAAGTAAATTTAAAAGGATTAGAGAAGAAAAACAATGAAGCTCAAAATCAAGAATGAACTCAAAGCCACATTTTTTTCTTATTTAACAGTTGTATTTATATAAAATGTGGACATCTTCAAAAATACAAAAATCCTTTGTAATGTAGGAAATCTTATGGGCATTCTGATTGGAAACTAAAATCTGTTTGGTTTACTTCTCCTACAAAAGTGAACTGAAAAGAACTGGAGCCAAGAGAGAGTTTCTACCTTGCCTTCCCAGCTGTGTGGAATCATCTCCCCCAAGAAACTAGACCTGCTCTTTCAGTTATGGCATTCCAGAAAATGTTAGATGGAGCTTTTCCAAGGAGTATTGAATATATAATTGTCACCATTGTTTTATTTTGGATCCTTATTTATTAATATTACTATTCTTGTTTGGATTATGTTGGGGATTGATGACGGTTACAGCTGGAATAGTTTATTTTAAACATCATCTTACTTTTACTGAATACATTTTAATTTTTTACATTTGTTCTTATAGATGGTGTTTTTTTTTTACTATTATAATATGTCAGGTGTCCCTAGAAGATTTTCCCAATTATAAGTGTGATTCATAAATGAAGACTCAGAAATTTTTAAATGATAGTTACATACAATACAAACACACACACACAGTCACCAAAATAGCATAAAATATGGTTGTCTCCATTTTTAATGATTGTAATAATACTTCTTGCGGACTTAAATCTTAAAGGTATAAGCCAAGTGAGTCACTCAACCAATTCTTGAGCAAGTAGAGCTGCTGGAAGAAGATATCCTTTCATAGGGAGGGACAACTTAGACAAATCTTGTATACAGTGGATCCACTTTTTGATATATTTAAATCAAGTACTGTAGCCATAATGGAGTTAGTTGCTGTTATGTATCCAACACTATCAAAGTAACAGGCATATTGCAGGTTAATCAAGTCATATAATAATCAAATGAACTCAAATCTCTGCCCCAGGTATCGCGGGTTTTGAATATAGCAACAAAAGTTCAATGTAACACATTTTTGGGAGTATAAGATGCACCAAGGTTTTGAAGACGCAAATTTAAAAAAAGTTTTTGCACTCTGCAAACCTCCCCAAAATGGCCCATTTTTCACGAATAGCCTTTAGGGTACTTGCAGAGTGCTCCTGGGGGGGGGGGTGTTCCCCCCCCAAAACAAGCAAAAAATGGGCCCTTTTTGTAAAAAGAATTGCATGCATAGCCTTTAGGAGGCTTATAGGGTACTCCTGGGGGCTGGGAGGGGCAAAATTTAGCAAAAAACAGCACATTTTTCACACATTTCTGCCTTCCCCAGCTCCCAGGAGCACTCTGAAAGCCTCCTAAAGGCTGTGCGTGGTCATTTTGGTGAAGGGAGCGGGGTTTCAGGAGACAAAAAATGCTGTATTTAGTATATAAGATGCACCCAGATTTTCAGCCCCTTTTTTGAGGGAAAATGGTGCATCTTATACTCTGAAAAATATGGTACATCAATATGGTGATACACATGTAGGATTCTATTATGATGGACAAAGAATTTACAGGCTAGTAGTCATGATTTCTGTGGTCCTTTCCAAACCTGGCTGCAAAGATTAAACATTAATTATGTTTTATATATTAACAAGTAGGAGGTCCATATCTAGGTTCTTAGTGGGATATAAGTTGTACAGGAATGGGAAAAGAAAACGGTTAGCAGCAGCAATTTTGGGAAGAGAATTTATATATATCCAAGGCTAAACTTTGATTTCAGGGCCTTGTAACTTATTACAGAGTGTCTTCCTTTCATATTTATAGTCTCATAAGTCATAAAAAGGAGGGTTTTGAAAAATTGTGAATTCAAATTGAATGTCAGGCCTGCAGCCATATTCATTTTGGATCTTTGGCCTGCCACACTTTCTATTATTCTACTATGCCATTTCTATTATGAGAAAATGGGAGGGGGAATGGCATGGAGTTAAATGCTAGGTAGCCAAAATAAAATTCCTTTCTAGAAGTCAAGGTCATCCTTTGTCTCTACACCTCTGCACCTGACCGGAACTGGATGGGTGGAACTGCCAGCATGGCAGTAGAAGATTGGACTATGTGATGGACTTGTTGGTGTGGGTCAAGATCATTAACTTTCAACTGGATGGGGAAAACTGGGAAGCTTTCAGATTCGGGTTTTCCCAGATGTGCCCAACATGGCTTTCTTAATAAATTGGAACTTTGAGCAATACTTTGCCTTGGACTCTGATTTAATTTTGGATGCTATTTGGAACCCTGACATTGAATATAATTCAAAAAATGTAGAATTCAACTTCTACAAAAAATGTAGAATTCAACTTCTACAACTTCATGTATAGGAGTATACATGACTCCTATTAGGGGACCTTTCTACCATGATCTAGTCCCCATTAAGCCAGACATGAGCTTCATGCAATGATGTTCTCATTCATAATGGACTGTTCATTCCCTCTCCATTTTTTCAAATAAAAAAAATAAAAAAATGCTCCAAATGCTTGCAAACATATTAAATATTTGGGACCTCTCTATTATCACACAAGTTGTCATGTCACATTGCTGTATTCTCATGGGATTTGTCACTTTTCCCAAGTTTAACCATTGAAAATGACTTTAAAAGGGAATTGATTTTAGATTGCTTGTTGTCAAAGGTTTAAGCCTCCCTGGGCAAATTCTATCTTTCAATGAATTCCTGAATGAACAAAAGCTGAGACAACTTATCACACAGTACAAAAATTAAAAGACATTTTTCTGCAAATTTGAATGCACATTACTATTTGTATGCAGCTGTTTACAGACTCAAAAGAAGAAAACTGAATATAGGAAGTGTGAAAGGTTGAAGGGCGTTTACAACCATTGCAGTCCGCACAGCAGTGTGCCTGTCCTCTGGAATGAAGTTCTTCAAGAGATCTGGGTGATTCCCAACCAAAAAGACTTTAGAAAGCCTGAAAGACTTGATTTTTGATTCCCCTTGCAAGTTTTATTGTTGATCTTCATCTGCTTTTACATATAATCTTTCCCTTTGGGTAAAAAAAAATTCTTGGACAGGCTTGGTGAAAACTGAAATTTTAGTTTTTCTTTTTAGAGACTTACCAAATCAGGTGAACTTAGGATGTTAGCTGTTATCTACAGATTCTTTGTTCTTTTCTTTATGTGTTTAATTGTAATGCTTTTCTTTCCCTTTGGGGATTGTTTGTGTTTATTTTATTTATGTATGTATGTTACTTTGAAAATGGATTAATAAAATTCTTTTTAAAAAAACTTATTAGTTTAAGTAAGTAAATCAGCTTTGACTTTATGCTAATTTTCTCTCCTTTTTAGGTGTTTACAGGCCTGAGAGGGGGATTTAAAAAAATTACAAAACCAAATTTTGAAAAAGAAAAACAATATTGGATATATACTTCATTCTCTATACATTGTGTGTATAGTAAAACCGCCTTGCAGGCTTGTTTCACATAACCTTTATTAATCTGAAACAGTTATTATGTAATTTGTTGAATTTTAATTTCACTACTTATTTATTTACGTTTCCATCTAGTTTCATTTCATTTATGAATATGTTTTATATTTCCTTTCAGTTTATGAATGGTTATGAAATGTCATCTCAAAAATCTGTATATTGTTTCATTGTTTAAATACTAATGTGTATTATTGTTTTTATTATCTTTTACAGAAGTAAAAGATCTTTTTAATATATTTGCTTGAATTTAATTATGTTTGGATATAATTAATAAATGTACAATTATGACATTATTGATTTATGTGCCCATGTGTAGGTGAGGGTGCCTATATTAGTCTTGTTCCAGTGCTTAATAATTCTCTCGGCGGCCCTGGGTGTTTAGTCTAATTTTAATGTAACTCGTTGCCTAATCTTTTTGTGTTAACCACCCAGGGTCATGGGCAGCCTTATAAATTTATAAACAAATTCAATCAGCTAGTAGTTAAAAATAAAGTAGTCATTTAACTTCAGTTGTACTTTCAGTGGATTAATATAATGCTACTGCCATAGCAGGAAGCTTGGCTATGGAACATCTTCCCGACATCAAAGGGTTAAGGACAAAGATCCATTGCTGAAGAGGAAAAAAAAAGAATGCCACCACCTATTCCAAAGCCCTGCAATTTTTTTTTCTTTTGAAGTCCATTTAGATCTTTGTTCTCTTGCGACATTTTACCAGACTATAAAGAAAAGTTCAAAGGAGTTGGAGCACTTGACTCTCTTTAATCTTTGTCAGACTTTGGACTGGTTGGTCAGGTTTATTTATAAACCAGGGACAAATGACAAGAATGTATTTCACTGATTGAAGGTATTCAACCCACTTCTCAGCTACATGAGGCTTCTGAGCAAGAGGAGACAGCACTGAACAAAAGGAATGGCTGGAGAAAATACAATCCTCTCTCTTGAGCTGAAAGAGAAAGAAGGCTTGGACAACAATGGCTTTCTTCAGGCTGAAGAGCTGGATGCCAAAGAAGCAGCTGAGGAAGGGTCACCAAGGGCTGGTCCTCTCGTCATGGAAATAGAAGCACAGGATGGATTAACTCAGCAGCCTTATGCAGGAATGCCCAAAGAGGTGCTCCTTCAGTACTCCACAAAGGCATGCTATAGGATTACCAGAGAGATACTCTTCTGGTTGATCATTGCAGCTTCACTGGTGCTTGTGGCAGCTACGGTCACAATCATTGCCTTGTCCCCCAAATGCCTTGATTGGTGGCAAGCCAGCTCCATTTATCAGCTCTATCCACGGTCATTTAAAGACACGGACAAAGATGGGAACGGTGATCTCAAAGGTGGGTACATCCAACTGTTTGAGGGATGGCAGCCTTGCCATATTGTGTGTTTTTAAAAGGAACTGAGTTCTAAAGCTCTTTTGCCTGACGATCTTGTCAAATTCTCTTATTTGGAGAGAGAAAGAAGTTCTACAGTAAGAAATTTTGCAGAAAATGGTGCCTTTAAAAGAAAGGTCCAAAGCCTCCGAAAAACTTGAGGGTGATTCCAAAGATTCCCAAGTTTATTACCAAATTGTAACTTTTAAGATGAGAAGGGGGAAATTTCTAGCCCATAACTAGAGAGCGGTCCTTATATTTAATGCTGATTCAATATAAATGTAAATGAAATAAAATGGGATTTAATTTTTGTCTGGGGCCCATCTGTTAATTTTGTGAAAAGCAACTTCCATCAGGCCATCTGAAATCTAAATATGGATCTCAGCGCAGGAAAGTTGCACATTCTTGCTTTCAAATAAAGGTTAATTGGAAATACTTTTTAAAAATGTTCATCTTAAGATGGGTAACCAAATACTTTTTAGATTCTCAAATGCTAGGTTGAAAACAGCATAGAAATCTTACAGATAATATGTTCACAACATTGGTCTCTCTATTACTGAACTGTATTTCCCAGCATCCTTCACTACTGGCCAAAGCCCCTGGAGGTATTGGGAGTTGCGATTCAGCAATATCTTGAGGTTGCCTATTGTGTAACATTGCACCTTGAGCATTTAGGGCGTCCCACTTCTTGTTTCAGTTCATATCCAGTAAACAAATGTCAGTTTGTACTAGATTAACTCAATTACCTTAAAATTAATCTTACATTTTATGTAAACATACTAAAGAAAATAACCCAAAGATATATATAATCGTGGGTGTGATATATAGGCAGAGTATGGGAAGGCTCAAAGAATCTGAAGTAATGACACAGTATAGTATCTATTTCCACATTACACTAGAAAGCATTGAGAAGGTATGATATTTTTTAAGAATCTCTTTCAATTTAGTTCTCTTGGCAATGCAAGATGGATTGCAATAAAAACAGCTGCTGGTTCCTATTGATCAGTTACCACCACTATCAAAATTGGCAGAGGTGGTTTCCTCAAGTTGTTTTAACGTCCCCATCCAGTATTTCTAAGCAGTTTAAACCAGTGTTACATCTTTCCTTACAGTATTATTCATCTTATTATAATTGATTTTCATAATTAAGTATAAGAACAATGCTAACTTCATACATGTTAATCTCAGGGTTCCAAGTAACAATCCTAACGAAAGAAGACTCTGAGGCTTGAGTTTCCTCAAAATTTCATTTTATTAGGGATGTCATATTGGCATATCTGGGAAAACCTGAATCTGAAAGTTTCCAGATTTTCCCCACCCAAATGAAAGTCCAAGTCCCTGCCCAGCACCCACATGTCTATCCCATGGTACAATCAGGCACCATCCAAAACTGGAGACACCTCCCAATCAAATCATCGCAGCTGCAGTGCAAGGTGTCCTTGACTCTCTGAGAAAAGAATGTTATTTTGACTATATATCCCCCATATTCCATATAACCCTAACCCTAACCCCCTCCAATTTTCCCACAGTAGAAAATGTAGCAGGCCTCAAGGCCAAATGTAAAAGATGGCTTCCAGGTTTGACAGTTAAGCTGAAATGTAGTTACTTCTTTGTGGTTTGATGTATGAATGTAACCAAACAATAGTGGTTTTTTAAACCATGACACAATCCGGGAATCTAATTTTCCTAATCTAATTGGATCTTCTACCAGTAATGATTCAGTTCTTCAGAAAATTTGTGACTTGATATTTATAGTATTGTTCCACTTTTTTCTTTATTAGGTATCCAGGAAAAACTAGAACATATACAGTATCTTAATATAAAAACTGTTTGGATCACATCTTTTTATAAATCAGCCCTAAAAGACTCTGGATATGGAATAGAGGATTTTGAAGACATAGATCCAATCCTTGGAAGCATGAAGGATTTTGAAGATCTGGTTGCAGCAATCCACGATAAAGGTTAGCTTTATTGTTAAGAAAGAAGTATCATTTTCTATTCTTTTACACCTAACTGTATGTAAAGTTGGCTATACTCAGTTCCTCTTGCCTCACTTTAAAAATCTAATGGGTTCCATTCAGTAATACTTGGAAGAATGACTTGGAATACAAAGAGTGAAAGTTTTGCTCTCAAGTAGCAAATTATTTCCTTCATGGATGTGCTAATCATATAATCATTAGGGACATAATTTGACTCAAAGGAGACTTCTTTATTATATATAGTGTTGAACCTGAACAATTTTTGATGTTGTTTCGTCCGTGAAGGGAAAAGGTAAAGATTCTTTTAGGTCACGGGTGTCAAACTCATGGTGTCATGTTGCTGTCATGTGATGTATCACATTTTTTCTTCGTGGAGCTGGAGTGAGTGTGGCCTGTTTGACACCCCTAGACTTAGATCAGGTTCATGCATAGGTCCATGTAATATTTTGGGGGGAAATGCAGAAGTTTTCCCAGTTTTAGTCAATATTCAGGGATTTTCTCCCATTTAAATATTAACCAGCTTCAATCTTGCTTAGCCTTTTCAAGATCACCCAAGATTCGATCAACACTATAACCTATTATAGTGTTGGCAAACCTTTTTGGCACCAAGTACTGAAACGAGAACATGCACATGCGCCTGCTGGGGAGCACCGGAAACCGGAAGAGCAGTTCCCTGGCATGCATGCATGTACCGGGAAGCTGAGCTTCTGGTTTCGGGCGTACGCATGCACGCCGGTAACTTGGTCTTCTGGTTTCTGGCACACATGCATGTGTGAAGACCAGCTGGCCAGCATGCAAGTGTGTGCTGGAACCTGGAAGAGTGACAGGCAACAGCTGGAGTGCCCTGAAAGATGGCTCTACATGCCACATCCGTGGTTCGCCATCACGGCCCTATGATATAGGATTGGATCAGTGGTGGGATTCAGCCAGTTCGCACCTATTCGGGAGAACTGGTTGTTAACTTTCTAAGCAGTTCGGAAAACCGGTTGTTGGAAGAAATCTTATTTTGTTTTTTCCACTTTACAGGGCTAATTCTTTAAGGAAAGCAGGAAGGAAACATTCTGGTATTGTTTTTAGCCTAATCTTTATTGCCCTGTTTACAGAAACTGCTTCTCCAGTTAACACTTATTACATTGTAACAGATAAGGCAAAGCGTCCATCGATATGAGTGACATTGAGTTGGCTACACCCACTGAGTCACATGACTACCAAGCCTCACCTACCCAGCTGGTCATTAGAGCAGAGAACCGGTTGTTAAATTATTTGAATCCCACCACTGGATTGGATGCAAAAAGCCCATATTGAGAGTGGGAAAGGTTCCTACTGGCATAAAGAGTTATTATCTGAATTTTTTTAAAAAAAAAATTCTAAAAATCTTTCTGTTTTCAAGACTGGAAGGGGGGGGGTTAGCAAAGGATGGAGGAATGAAAGGCCAATTGTATTAATATAGTAAACTGAAAGAATTAGTGATAATTAATTCCAGTTCTCCCCAGGACTAGTACCATAACAATCTTTTTGAGAGGATGCTAACAATTTTTACATCAATGACCATTTAGTCTTCTTTCTAATCTCAAATTTCTTCAGGTGCTTCACATGGATTAGTTCACTAATCTCTGCAGCACACTTGTATAAAGGGTTTGTTAATCTCAATTTGCCATTATGCATCTATGCTTTTAAAATTAAAATACTTTACTTCTTTCTGAAACACAGTGCATGTGTATATTGCCTGGCTGTTTGACATACTATTCTTTGCATCTTGAATTGAAAGGTTTAAAAGTGATAATGGACCTAATCCCCAATCATACTAGTGACAAGCACAAGTGGTTTCAGCTTAGTCGGAATCGGACTGGAAAATATACGGATTATTACATCTGGCATGACTGTGCTCATGTCAATGGGATCACCACTCCTCCAAATAACTGGGTAAGTATAAAGTTTTGATAGGCTGCCAATCATATACAAAGTAATATTTAGGTGATGTAACAGATCTGCGTTTGGCAATGCATTGGGTTCCAATATTAGCTTCAAATGCAGATCTTACAAACAGGGTATCTTTGCCCTCCGTTTCAGATTTTTTAAATTCAGTTTAAACCCCTATTGGTGAAGAAAATTAGGATAGCATGATTTTCTATGAAGCAACGTAATTAGAAACAAACCGGTTTGCCGTATAGTCTAGTACTGTGATGATGAACCTATGGCATGCGTGACCAAAGTAGCATATAAAGCCATGTCCCCCAGCGCTCATGGGTTTGCCTATTTGTCTTCTGGGTTTCTGGTGTGCATGCACGGTAGAATCCGGAAGTTCGGCTTTTACGGAGCGTGGTTCCAACGAGCATGTGTGCAGGCATCTGATGTTTCAGCACAACCTTTTTGGCACTCGGTGCCGAAAAGGTTTGCCATCACTGCCCTACTACTTAAAGATACCAGGCTAGAAACCAAAATGCAGTGTATTCAGCAGCAAAGCTGCTGGGGAATTCTGGCAGTTGAAGTCCACCAGGCTTAACGTTGCCATGGTTGGAGACCCCGATCTAAACCCATATTAGGCACAAAGCCAGCTAGGTGACCTTGGGCCAATTACTCTGTCTCAGCCCTAGGAAGGAGACAATGGCAGATCAGTTCTAAAAAACTTTGGCCAGAAAACTGCAGGGACTTATCCAGGCAGTTGCCAGGAGTCAAGATTGCACCGGCACCCACACATTAAAGATCTCGCAGGATGATAATAGCTTTGATTAAATAGTTAATAAATAAGCTTGTTATAATTACAGGAAGGACAAATTCAGGAACAATATGCACAACAGAACTGTTAGGTATTGCCATATGCTGATATGTACTAATTACTAGGAAACAATTTTTTTTTATGTCTCAGCAATAAATAGTTCGCGGAAACGGTCTGTTTGCTCTTACTGGTTTAGCTTTGCTAATTTGATCACAGTTGAAGTAAAAACACTTCTACTGATTATGTCTAAAACAGACAAAGTACCTAAGTGCTTTACCGTAATACCAAATGGAACTAACCAATGGTGAAACATTTAAGAGTTGCATCGTGCTCCAAGAAAATGATTATTTGGAGAAAAAGTCTAGAGTTTTCAGTTGAAAGCATTATCAATTAATAGCCCGATCACTAAGGTCAGAAATAAGTGACTTGAATTCAAACTGCCAGAGAGGTTCATGCATACTTGTAGGCAAAGAGTGCACTGCTGTGTAATATAAGTAAGCCAGATGGAATGGCTTTTCAGAAGACACATCTGCAGTGACATTTTAAGTCATTACAAGCATTGATCTACAAACTTCCCAAAGAAGAAAAATGCAGAGTTCAGCTACTTTTGAAGTAATTTACCTTTCAAAAAAATGCATGCAGTCACTAAGTGATTTGCTTAGTGAAGCATTAGCATTGCTATTTTTCTTACTTTACTTGCTCTGAATGCTTTTTGTGCATTTCTTGCTATGTTCCTCCTATCTCTGTGCAAACCACTCAGCAGGCAACAACCCATGTCTCATAACTAATTCTTTGTGAGATGCCACTTCATCTGTGGATATCTCAGCCCCAGTGCCTTCTCATCACAGCGGTCTCCTCTCTCCGCTAGCCATGACATCAGAAGAAAACAAATGAAGCCATTGTTAAATCATTCTTTATTTCTTTCTAGAATGCTAATTTGTTCGAAAGTGGTTTCACTACTTTGAGAATGGGAAGTTCAGGAATTACATTGTTCCATTTTCCTATAATATTTTCTTTTATCATATTGCTTAAAGTCAGAGCACACTGTAGCTTGCAGTGTCAATAGCAATAGCAATAGCAGTTAAACTTATATTCATAGGGCCTTCAGCCCTCTCTAAGCGGTTTACAGAGTCAGCATATTGCCCCCAACAACAATCTGGGTCCTCATTTTACCC